ATGTCGAGTATTTACAGGGATGTAGTAAAATGGAAAGAGGCGATTGGAAAAGGGGCCAGTTGTCGGAAATGATTTGATTACCGGCCCGTCCTTTTGGTTGTTGTCGTGACGGGGAAAAACAAATTTGATCACCGATAACCAAAAGGGAGAAAAAATAATTGAAGACATATTAAGAGGAGCATGAAAGGCCTTCACCCCTCCGGGCCCTCTTCCGAAGCAATTTAATAACTTATTAATTACGATGGAAAGTTTATTAGCTCGTGATTTCCATAATAATTATACAAACTTTGTTAGGACGACGGAGCGGCCGGGTATCAGAAAGTTAATTGGAATTTTTTCAAAGCGTAATAGCCGGTCAATGTGTAGCCGATGCAAGGGCAAGGTCTTTCGACTCCATGAAATATGCAATCTGGAATAACAGTCCTTTCTTCACTCTTGTCAGGATCGTTAGAAACATGATGGTCGTCAAAAATTTTTATTAATTCAATTAGCCAGGAAATTGTAAAAAGTTAATTATGCTATACATGAACATTGAATGAACTCCCACAAGAACACTTGCTGCTTACATAAATAACATATAAAAATTAGATAATTCTTAAGATTCTTAAGAACTATAACAATAGATTAGGAACCTTCTAGAATTGGAACATAATTTTACAATTTAAAAATGAAATAAAATACTAATCATATGATTAGTAACGTTCTATAAGTTAATGTAAAAGTATATAATGTGAAATAAACAAATAATAATAAATTAACATATTAAATTATTAAAATATTAAATTTTTTATATCAAATATTAATGCCTATTTGTAATACAGTAACGAGAGTGAGAGAGAGAGAGAGAGAGAGAGAGAGAGAGTGAGAGAGAGAGACTGAGAGAGAAATAATTACCCAGTAAACTCAACTGAAAATCACAATGGAAAATTTAGAAATTATGGAAAAAGTTAGGGAGTTCGTGTGGCCTATAGACAATTTTATGAGTTGTCACGTTCAAGCATACGATTTAATATCGCACCGTCAAAGGAATGTGAAGTGTTTATTTCCCACGACGATTTTATGTAGCACCTGTGTTCCTATATCCTGGCGGCATTCTTTGATAATGCCGCTGTTCAAACTGGCATTTCCAGTATTGCTTCATTTTTGGGAAGTAGTTCGACTAAACAGCCCCTCTCAAATCTTATACAAAAAAAAAGTTCGTTGTAAATAATTAGGTTTACATTTACGCTCAGAAATGTATATAATAACCGTAATAGATTAAACTTGTCTGCTTTATATTTAACAGTCTACCTTTGAATAATTTAATTATGTCCACTTCATCTGCCACTTTCAGTATGGCTCGATATCAATATTACAGGGAAAAAAAATGATAATAAAAAAAAGCGCAAATTTGTAGTTGTGTTAATGTTGGCTAAAATTGAGAAGCTATTCATTCCAATGGACTTGTTTACAGCTAAACATAATTAATTAATGTGTGGTGTTTAGTGACCGTTAGGTAATGATTATTTGGAGATCGTGAGATGCGACTGGTGTGACGTAGGTTTTAGAAAAACATTTTCTTTATCATGCCAACGTTTCGATCTATATTGAGATGATCATGAGGGCCTGGGATTTACAAACATTGTTTAAGTTTTACAAATACATGTGGGATGTTTAAAGAAATGAATTTATACAATGCTAGAAATTTTATATTCAATCAAAGTATTTGTACTCACTCAAAGTGTTTGTTTTTTGTGTTGATGTGTCATTCTTGTCTGTTGTGTACCATTGAGATATTGATGTTTTATGTCTATATACATTGGAGTTTGGAGGGGTGGGGAAGGAAGTCGGGATAGAAAGACATTTTTATAAGAGGAGTCGGCTTCTTTGAGGTGAAAGTAGCCGACAATGGGAAAAAGTGGGAATCTTTTTTTTCCTTTTTTATAAAGATAGTTCCTACTCACAGTAAATTGTTTTGCAACGATCCGGATTTCGAGCCCTTTAGCTCATTATCAGGTTGTAGAACTCCTTCAACCTTATCAGGTTGTAGAACTCCTTCAACCTGATGATGAGCTAAAGGGCTCGAAATCCGGATCGATGCAAAACAACTTACTGTGAGTAGGAACTAACTTTTTAAAAAAGGATTGAACAACACACTCACTCCATTATTCATCATTTATACTAAAGTGGGAATGGTCCTTTATGGATTATATAGACGGGGATAATTAGGGAAAAAGGAAAACCTTACTGATGAAGAAATAGGCTAGGTAGAAATGTTCGATGTGTGGCATGTAATGATTGTTTTATATGTTATATGTTCTGTGTGATGTGATGATGATATATGATTAATGATATTATGCTAATAATCTAATATGCTCTAATCAGGCCGAACCATTACTCATTGTTTCCCATTGTCGGCTCCTTTCACCTCAAAGACGCCGACTACTCACACAAAAATGTCTTCTATCCCCACTCTTCCAAAATCCACACATATACGCAGGAAACAAACACTTTTTGTTTGTAAAATACTTTGATTGAATCTAAAATTTCTAGCATTGTATAAATTCCTTTTTTCTCATCTCCTATATGTATTTGTACAATGTAAACCATGTTTATAAATCCCAGGCCCTGAAGCTGAAGATGATCTCAGTAATCGAAACGTTGGCACGATAAGGAAATTGTTTTTCAAAAACCTACGTCACACTAAACCGCATCTCACGATCTCCAAATAATAATTAAAGCATTATTTCTTTGACTTTATTAGTCTCAGGGTCGAGTGGGGAAAAACCCAAGTCTTTTGTTATAAACCGTTTTTTCTAATACTATTATTTTTTTATATGAAGAATTTACACTAATTAGTTAAGACTGGTTGGTTGAATTAATAAGATCTAAAGAAAAATATCTGTCTAAACCAGTTTTATATTGAACAAGTTGGTCTGCAAATTAAAAAATTATGGTCAACATTGATCATTTCTTTTATGTTCATAAACACATCGAACTTGATGAATATAATATATTCTGTTAACTGAGTTTTTAAATTCAATGTTAGCTTTTTGCCAGTTTATCGTATATAAAAAAACCCTAATATTCCTCTAGCCTACCTGTACAAAATTTGAAGTTTTGAGGACAAGAGAGGATCTTAAATAATTACGCGATATTCAACAGCGCTGTAGGATTTTGCGAAGAACTTCTGCCCGAAGAAGTTAGGAAATTGCGGCCACGCACGTCAGCTTGTATTATTCCGCGGCCTGCACACCAACCTTTTCCAGATTAGAATCGTTTTATACATTGTAACAGCTTTTCCAATTAATGTTTATAAATGAATAATATATATCAGCGTGAAACATTTAAGGTTTCCTAGAAGAACCTGGAATAACTTCTAGCTTATTTTACTCAATTATATTATTTTAAAACAGTTGAAGTACGTTCATATTTATCTGTTTTATTTATCTCTCTATCCATCCAACTCACTCTTAGTCTCTTTCTCTCTCTCCCTCTCTCCCTATCTCCCTATCTCCCTCCCTCCCTATCACCCTCTCTTCCTCTCACTCTCTCTCTCTCTCTCTCTCTCTCTCTCTCTCTCTCTCTCTNCTCTCTCGCTCTCCCTCCCTCACCCTCTCACTCTCTCCCTATCCCTCTCCCTCACCCTCACCCACTCCCTCTCCCTCACCGTCACCCGCACCCTCTCACTTCCCCCCTCTTCCTCTCTCCATCCCTCCCTTCTTGTACCATGTGGTTTCATTTTATCTATACAGGGAATTGAAAGATTTTAGTTAATTTACTGGTATGTTCCTTATTTCCTTAACTAATTATTTTAAAGTTTTATCCTTCCTTTAAAATGAGATATCCATATGGATCCCGACGTTCGTCCTTGCAATGTTATTAATTAGCTCGGGCCGAGTTTTGTTCCAGAGATGAATAACAATGCAAGGAAAACAGCAGATTGTAAAATTGCGTTATTAATCACCTCCCACCCTCGCTGGTACAAAAAAGTTAACAATTACGAGAACTAATTTCTTGGCGTAACGTCGGATTTGCTGCTTGCAGCTATTAATGAGGCCTCTTTTGAAACTAATACGAACGTGTTGCACAATTACGGGCCGGATCGCTCAAGGACGAAATTATGAGGAGTAAATAATAAAAAAAGAGGTTTTTAATTAGATCGATATCCTGTTTCAACGAAAATAGATAAAGCTCGGTAGGTTCTGTACATCACATTCTATCTTCTCCCACATTACCCTATTATTACAATTATTGGTAAATTTTTTTTGCCAGTTCAAAATCGAGGAAAAGGAAATTAAATCCATCCAGAAGGTGGCCAAGTATTAAAATTATAATGTTTCAAAATTATTGTTCTTTAACGAGAAAATTAAGTTTATTTGAATGGAAAGCCGAAATCTGTCTCTCTCTTTCTTTTTATCTTTCTCGTTCACTCTCTAACTCTCATTCATTTTCTCTCTCTCTCTCTCTCTCTCTCTCTCTCTCTCTCTCTCTCTCACTCACTCACTCACTCACTCACACACTCACTCAAACTCTTTAGTAGATAAGAAAGGCCTGGCACAGCCTCCAAGACATCCATCCACCCCGCCTTTATTGGGTCTTGCAGCAAACTAACCTCCACCACTTAACACCTGACACCACCTCTACCGCACACCACACACAGCCCCTCTACCACCTCACACCTAACAAGGAGTTCTTTTCATCGGTCTCATGCTGGGCACTCTCAACAGGACAGACAAGAATGACACATCTACATGAAAAACAAACTTTGAGCCCTGAAGATGATCCCAATAAAAGCCGAAACGTTGGCACGATAAAGAAAATGTTTTTCTAAAACCTACGTCACATGAGACCGCATCTCACGATCTCCGAATAATCATATACCAATAAATTCAGAATTTTCTTAAAGTAAAAACATAGTCTACCATTACTGCTTGGAAAAAGCACAACATCCGGTTCGATCGTATTGTTTACGATATGCTTGTCTTGATAGATTCCTGATTGTGTTTTCTTTGTTCCAGACTGTAATGGAGTGATGGCCGAAGGAGAATCTGAGGCCGGTGAGGGGATGTTAGCCGCAGCAGCGTTACACCAGGGTGCCGTCGTGAAGCGGGAGGACGAGCGGTTAACCGACATCAACCAGGTGATTTTTAATTCGATCTCACCCCAACCCGCGTCGATTTATCAACCCTGTTTGGACCTTAATTTATTTAATGTTGAGTGGCAAACAATTTCCAGGGGCGGCCGTTAAAGGAAAGTTGTACTCCCAGGGGGGCTGTTTTCACCCCCCAGGCAGATAAACAGGTGCCAACAACACTAATAGCTTTATAGACTAGATAAATAACCACTGAAGGCTTGTAAAACTTAATTTTTGTAAACATTTCTCTTCGAACCATAAACCATACAACCACGTTTCTTAATTAGCCCATTAACTATATGAACTCTGTATTTAAAATGGACCCTTTACTTCCTGACTTTTTCCCCCCTACATCGTTAATTTTTTTAACATCAACCTTATGATTAACTTATTTATGAAAATAAGTAATGCCTTTAGGTGATTATCATTATTAACAGACTTTACGTAAAACCAACGAAAATCGCTAAAGTTAAAAACGACCTAACTTCGTTCAATCTCATGACAATAATTGCAATAAAACAACAAATCCAAAATCCTTTACCAACGATATTGTTAATCTTTCAATTAATTAAGGTTTTTAGTTGAGATGAAATAGTCAGGGGCAGAGCGGGATTCGAACTCACGATCTTCGGCTAGATACGCCGCTGCTCTACCAATTGAGCTATCGCGACCTCGATCCACTCCAACACTGACTTCCCATCTGAACCCCACCTTTTGAATTTTCCCTCCTTTTTTGCCATTTTTCAAATGTCGTGTAATCTATTTGATTTTTGAAAAATGGCAAAAACGAAAGAAAATTCAAAAGGTGGGGTTGAGATGGGAAGTTAGTGTCCGAGTGGATCGAGGTCACGATAGATCAAGTGGTAGAGCAGCGGCGTATCTAGCCGAAGATCGTGAGTTCGAATCCCGCTCGTGCCATTGACTTTTTTATCTCAACTAAAAACCTCAAATAATTGTAATATATTAATTGGTCAAGCGGACCACGAAATTAGTGAACTTAATGAGCACGTTGAACTTTCCTAAATTAAAAAGGAATAAAGATATCAGTTATTAATATTTCCCAAAATAACCTGAAAACACAAACCTAGTGGGACATTTCCATTTCCACAACCAATAGCAAGTTGTGTATAATATCCCCTCTGCAACTATGATTTTGGATAAAGGAAAGGAACCAAGTTAATACATTTGAAAACAAATAAAAATCGGAGACTAACTTACTATCTCCACCCCACCTTTTGAAAAATGGCAAAAAGGAGGGAAAAATCAAAAATATTGATCTTATAAAAAAAAGAAAATAAATAATGGCTCGAGGTCACGAAAGTTCAAGTGGCAGAGCAGGGGCGTATCTAGCCGAACATCGTGGGTTCGAATCCCGCTCGTGACACTGACTTTTTTTTTCTCAACTAAAAACCTTACTTAATTGAAAGATATTAATTGGTCAAGCGGACCACGAAAACTAGTGATATTTTAATATTAATTTTTCATTGATCAGGTAAATGGTTAATATTTTACATATTTTTGATTGCTATAATAGGGTTATAGTTATTATTTCATATCAGACTAGAAATTAACTTGTGTGTGTGTGAGTTTATTACCTAATCTCTATCAAAAATTACGAGATTATGCCCTAAAAAATTGGCCGAGTTAAATCGTCTTAAGTTAAACCTATTATGTTTATATTGTTACATTTATTAATCGTATTTATTTAATTGTAAAATCACATACTAATTATTGAATTAATAGCCAAATCTTGTGTACTTTACGATAACAATAAATCTTAATCTACATTGAAATAAAATGTTACTAACGATAATTGAACATAAAATGCCCCTTCTTAATTATAAATTGTTTTGATAACATATCTTCAATATATCGCGCAGCTTTAGGGAACCCTCGATGTAGTTAAGTTTGTGCGAAATGACTGCCCAAAGCAAAACATCACCAACCTCCATCGCTTCTCCGGAATGATAATGTTGCGCGGATATGTTACTCTTGTGTTCTTCTCCAAACTCTCTCTCGGCTGCCAGAAGCTCAACAAAAACCTTGACACATCCGAAAATCAGATTAAGATTGATAATTACCAGATTACGTTTTGTGACAACTTGATAGGTGTAAATAATAATAATGAAAGCCTGTAGAATAGCAAGGGAAATGGACGCAATCTGATCCTGAGTAGTTAATGATAAATCAGAAGTAGATAATCCACATTGTACTTTAAAAGAACAACAATACATCTTTTCTTGAATATGTTTGTCAGATTACGGGAGAAATTATATTGATAATCGTTTTCAAAAGGTTTGAAATGAAAGGAAAATGCATGGCCGTCAAGTTTCTCGATCAGGCAGAATTTTCGAGAATGGTTTCTCCTTTACCCAAGAGACAATTATATAATAATAACATTATTCACATTTAAGCCTATATAATTCGTGGCAAGTATAGGCACGTTATTATGAACCGGTTTGTTCACTTAATGCTCTTACAGAACACTATCCCTTGAACAGACAGATAGTGTTTCTACTTAGCGGTTACTTTGTGTGCAGTTCAACTTAGTGTCTAAGTCCCTTGTTACTTCTCTATGTAAATTGAGTTCGATTTCCTCTAATACTCGGCCGCGGTCCTTGGTCCACTTTGTGACTTTATTCTCAATCCGTTATGATAATTTGTTGAAAAATTCTGTAACTGATGGTGGAGGAAAGAGTTCACGTGCAAATGCCGTTCCTGTGCCAGCGCTAATTTACATATTTATTTAAAAGAAAACAAAATAAAATTGCTGACTTTTGCATTGTTTCCGTTATGTCAAACGTATTTTTAAATAGCAATGCTTATCCAGGATCAGACATTTTTCCGACGTTGCCTTCAAACACAAAATATAATTCCCAGTCTTTGTTAAAAACCAGTGTTATCTTTTCTTCTTTTTGTTTATTCTTGATAATTATTGTTTGAAATAAATTATTAAATTTGCGAGTCACTACCGCATGACTTACATTTATTTACAATAAAATGTCGAACAACAACTTACTTGTTTTTTCCTAAAATTTGGCTCGTGGATGTAAATTCAGGTAATACAAAAGGGCGAATATTTTGATTAGATTATTATTGTGCCTTCTCTCTCTCTCTCCCTCCCTCCCTCTCTCTCACTCTCTCTCTCCCTCTCTCACTCTCTCTCTCCCTCTCCCTCTCCCTCTCTCTCTCTCTCTCTCTCTCTCTCTCTCTCTCTCTCTGTCGCTCTCTCTGTCTCTATCTCTCTCTCTCTCTCTCTCTCTCTCTTTCTTTCTTTCTCTATTTAAATAAATAAAATGAATTTATACAATGCCAGAAAAATTTAGATTAAAAAAAAGTTATACAATGCTAGAAAATTTTAGATTTAAAAAAAATTTCTAACTTCAAGCAACCAACATACAAAAGCAGTTAGAAGATGAATTTTACGACTTAACAAATTATAGTAGGATTAATATTTTGCAAGATGCAGTGGCTTTGTAGGATAAAAGTTATATAGATTTTATCCGACCAGCCACTGAGTTTGGGCTCTCTAGGTGCTGTTAACTAGGTCAATTCAGCAAGAAACGCATGCAGTTCTTAGATCCGAAACATTCACACTCACTCTCAAATACATTCTTTCCTATCTGCATACCATTCACTAAGTTAAGGTGGTGGAGTTATAAATAACCTAATAGAAATTCACGCTACTAAAAACATTCTCTCTCAACAAACGCTAGGGGCAATTTATCATTACTGAATACAATAAAACAACCCTGCTTCCTCCAAGAATCGGAACGGAGGACCCTTGTACACGCTGACATGTTCAAGCACAATTCTCATGACGGGTGTCATTCCGACGCGGTATATATGGAGCCTACGAATTGCTCCCCTCAAGAAGGGCACATCGGGCAACCTTTCCTGCATGCCTCAGTATTGACGACTGTTTGTTTAATTTATTTTTATCTTACTCCCTCTATATCATCTTGTGTCATTGTATCATCTATCAATTCTTTTACCTATCTATATCTGCCATCTATCTATCAATATCTTCTCTTACTCTTTCTCTTACTTTCACCCTGTATTTCTATGTATCTTTCTACTCTTCTTGCTGCCCCAACAGTTAACTGGTGTTAACTCGAATAGACAAATGTCCAGTAAGATCGTGAACGCTTCCTTCTTTTCTTAGCATGTTAAACGTTAGTTTTTCCGCAATGCTGCGCGTGGCGACTGGTAGAAGCAAAACTAAAGTTCCTTGAAGGCTTGTTGTTTGTTTCGGTTTCCTTTGTGTTAAATTGTAAGATGCCAAAAACAACCACCCATAGATTTTATTTGTTTGTATATTTTATTATTAAATTTGAATTCCATCCATATCCAACAAAAAGGAAAGCATTAAATAAGACAATATTATAAATTGTACTTTCGAGCCTCAACCTATTGGTGTGCATGTGTACTTATTTATCTATTTACGAATATTTAATCCTATGCATTTCTCCAAATTGTGTCTATTGTTCTATATATTTACAATGTTATTCTATGTGTATGCTAAGTATATTAATATCCTTTATGTCTGTTTAAATCTATCGGTCTATTGTTTTTTGCTATATTTTAAACCTTTTTTAAATAACGCATCGCATCATGATCCTCACCGTTTTGATGGTATTTAAGACCTGTTATTCAGCGTTGGCCCGCAGGAAAGTTTAGTGCAACACAGAAATAAACTTATTTCGAACTGGTTAATTAAGTTTCACCGCTGGGAAGATACAAACAATGAGCCAGATGCAACAACGGCCAGCCGGCATGAAAATCCTTTGAATTTTTACGAACACCTGTCTCGTATTTCAGCGAAAAACTGCCTCTTTTCATGCGGTTAAAAAAGAAGTAAAGATGTAAATGAATGGGCTAATTGCCTTCTATTATACAATGCCGATCCACTACCTCGATTTTGCAGTAGTTTGTAATGAGTATTAATAATTTTCTTGTATGCATATTCCGAATTCAGTATAAAGTACAGGTGAAAAAAAAAAAAA